AAAAAAAAAAAACAGCACAAAAGTAAGAAATACCTGATCTTGCATAGAAAACAAGGGATTTCCAAATCTTTCTAATCCAGATTAAACTTTTTGAACAGGTAAAACCAGTCGCTAGTGGGCTCTTGCTAACCAGCTAAACCTTGATCATTTGGTAATAACAGCGTAGATTTGACAAATTACATGTAATTGTGTGGTAAGATGTATGGAGATGCTACGCAATAAAAACCAGCAGTTTTTTTTATCTAGAACACAGAAACATGAATAGAAATCAGTGTCTTTCGTAGTCCATTATGGAAAGAACCGGGTTGATTTGACAAATGTGCTTTTAATTGATGATTTAAAGGGGTCATATGATGTGTAACGCCCCTGTGGACTGTTTATTGTGGTTTCTTCCCCTGTTGTTGGTTTAGCCCGTTCAATCATTAGTTAATTATCTTCAGTGTGCTCACCTGTCTGCCCCTCGTTATCTGCCCTATAAGTTCCTGTCTCTTGTATTATAGTATTGTCGGTTATTGTGAATGTTACCTCGAGTGTGTGTCTCATCTACCCGAATCTGCCTTGTTGTCGCTACATTAAATATCCTTATTTGAATCTTTGTCGTCCTCGTCATCCTGCCTGCCTCCACACACCTTGTCCGTGACAGAATAACCGACCCAAAAGTAAAGTATAGTGGCGTCTTTCCCCTCGTTTGTTTTTTCCAGTTTTTGCCTGTGTTTATTTTTGTTTTTCTATGGATTACCCCACCTTCGAAATCCTCCTGCTGGAGAAGGGGGAACGCTGTCTTGAGGACCACACAAATTACTTTCTGTCCCTGGCCCACCTCACGCACTACCCGGACAACTGCCTCTGTACCTTCTATAGAGTTGGACTTAACGCCACCACACGAGCGCAGTTGTCTGGGGATGGTCCTTGAGAGAGCTTCACCACCTTCGTCGAGTGGGTGCTGGTGTCCTGCAAGTCCCAGCTAACTGTGGGCATCGCTGACGACGACACCAGCCCCACTCAGGACCCTGAGCCCAGCCCACCATCTCCCCACGGTACGGAGCATAAGCCTGAGCCCACCGATGACGGAGAGCCATTTCCTGCCACGATCCAGGAGCCGGAGTGAAGCCCGGCAGCTAAGAAGAGGATCACCTCTGAGGTTGAGCCCAACACGTCAGACCAGGTGCGAGAGCAGGCGACAGTACCCACCACGAGGGAGCATGCCGTGGATGGTGTGAGCGCGGAGAGGAGCTCTGCCCCCTGCATCATGGCTGAGGGTAAGCGGACTATGGAGGGAATTCAGGGCCAAAATGAGGAGGAGAGACAGCGGAATCCCCAGTTCAGCCCAGGAAGGGCTCCTGATGTTTTGTTTAGCCCAGGAAGGGCTCCTGATCCCCAGTTCAGCCCAGGAAGGGTTCCTGATTTCTCGTTAAGCCCAGGAAGGGCTCCTGAGCCCCAGTTCAGCCCAGGAAGGGCTCCTGATCCCCAGTCCAGCCCAGGAAGGGCTTCTGATGTTTCGTTTAGCCCAGGAAGGGCTCCTGATCCCCAGTCCTGCCCAGGAAGGGCTTCTGATGTTTCGTTTAGCCCAGGAAGGGCTCCTGATCCCCAGTCCAGCCCAGGAAGGGCTCCTGATGTTTAGTTTAGCACAGGAAGGGCTCCTGATCCCCAGTCAGCCCAGAAAGGACTCCTGATGTCTTGTTTAGCCCAGGAAGGGCTCCTGATCCCCAGTCTACCCCAGGAAGGGCTCCTGATCCCAGTTCAGCCCAGGAAGGGCTCCTGCAGGGCTCCTGATCCCCAGTCTAGCCCAGGAAGGGCTCCTGATCCCAGTTCAGCCCAGGAAGGGCTCCTGCTGTTTTGTTTAGCCCAGGAAGGGCTCCTGATCCCCAGTTCAGCCCAGGAAGGGCTCCTGATTTCTCATTAAGCCCAGGGAGGGCTCCTGATCCCCAGTTCAGCCCAGGAAGGGCTCCTGATCCCCATTTCCGCCCAGGAAAGGCTCCAGCCCAAGAGCGCTCTCCAGTGCCCGCTCCTCAAAAATGACCCGCCCTCCCACCCACTCCGGCCTCCTCCAGCGTTACCATGGTCGGAGTCTCCCTCACCTCCGCCTCCAGCCTCCGAAGCCTGGACTCCGCCTCAGTCCGTAGACCCAGTGGCTCCACCTCAGCTCCTAGCTCCCTCGCCTCCACCGTCACCCATCGATCCATCAGCTCCACCGGGCTCCCTCGTCCCTCCGGCTCCACCTTGGTCGGGCGTCGACCCGCCATCGCCTCTGGACGCCTCTCCTCTGGACGCCTCTCCTCTGGCTGCGCCTCATCGCTCTGTCCTACCAGCTCTGTTGGCCTCCTTCCTCCCGTCAGCTCCACCTTGGTTCGCAGTCGCTCCGGCTCCACCGCGGATCTCTGGATCTCCGCCTCCGGCTTGGTCACCAGAGCCCTCGGCTCCACCCTGGCCCCCCGGATCCTCGGTATCCCCCTGCCTCGCTGGCTCTCCATCTCCGCCTCTGGCTCCTCCTCCACCTGCTCCGCCGCCATTAGTCGG